GTACTTAAAAGTTGATTTTTTTTTGTGTTTCAGTCCTTGGAAGGATTTTGAGTTGCACTTATCCTTGAACAATATAAGATTTGAATGTCCAAGCTTTGTATGTCAGTATGTTGCTTGTCTGATAGCCCTTGCACAGTCACTGGCTAAGTATACAGTACTATTGAGCTTCCTACTGTGGCATCATATTTTTAGCCGTCTGGCATCTTAATTACTCCTGTATTGTTCAGCTCTAGAACAGTCAGTTTTGTTTCTTGACACACCCTTAATTGGGAATTGGTTTTCATGGTTTTCTCATGTATATTGAGTGCAACTACTCCACAATGTGCTGTTGTTCAACATTTAAGTCCTTTATTCATGCAGGAACGCCCTTCACTGTTGATGCATTTCGCTATGGTCCAGTCAAAGGCTGCTCTGCCTATTTCCTTAGTCATTTCCATGCCGATCATTATATTGGCTTGACGAAAGTATGGTCACATGGCCATATCTACTGTACCAACCTGACTGCTCGCCTAGTTAGAATCTGTCTTAATGTTAGTCCATCGTAAGGACTCTTTTTTGCCCTGTCAAGTGTATTACTCGAAAAACAAGAAAAGTTTCATATTCTTTTCTTCTCTTTTGGGTTCTTTTACTCCCTCCCACCTCAAACAAGCGTACAGGATATTAAGTTCCGTCGATTCTTTTGCAGTTTTATCTGTCCTCTGGAATTAGGTACTGAATACGACCTTAAAGGAATCAAAGTTACTATGCTTGATGCTAATCACTGTCCTGGTGCTGCTCTCATTCACTTCCGTCTCCCAAATGGACAATGTTACTTGCACACTGGAGACTTTAGGGCTTCGAAGCTGATGCAATCATATCCACTTCTTGCAAGCCAACGTATTAATATACTTTACCTTGACACAACATATTGCAATCCAAAGTACAGGTGTTAAATCTCTTTGTATTCTGGCGTGGATATATATTGTTCACAGTTGTGGTGGATATTAAATTTTTTTTGAGATATTTCAGGTTTCCTTCCAAAGAAGAAGTTTTGAAATTTGTTGTGGGCGTCACGAGAACATATTTGAATAATTATCCAAAAACCATCGTGGTTGTTGGTGCATACAGCATTGGAAAAGAACATGTGTATTTTGCAATTTCCAAGGCACTCAGGGTATCTTAGCTGCTGACTATTTCATGCTTTTTTTTGTCGCTTTTACGATATTAATCCATATTATCACTTGATGAATATCTATCAGTCCTATAAAGGCATCAAAGGCAATGAACAATTGTCAGTTATTGCTATAAAATACACCATTGACCATTTAACAGAAGACGAAACTGCTTTTCTCGTATAACTAGGTTTCTAAAATCCTTCTCTTTATGGATGAATAGCATGTCATATGGCACCAAACTATTGAAATTTCATTGTCTTTCTGGGACAAGGTAACAATTTGCTACAAGTTTGCTTCAGGTGTCCTCTTCAAAGCTAAACTTTATGCTACCTATTTGCTTAACAAAGTGAACTTCTGTACGAAATATTAGCTGACTGGATTTTCTTATAAATACTTCATAGGTAAAAATATATGCAAATGCTTCCAGGAGGCGCATTCTTCAGTCTTTTGGCTGGGCAGGAATTTCTGAAAATCTGTCAACAAACAGGAAAGATACACCTTTACACATATTGCCTATATCATCCTTGAAATTTGAGGTTTGCATTAGTACATCCTTTAGTTGATTGATGTGTTTTCCCTTTATAACTTCTCCTGTTGACGTTTCTCAAGATGCTGGAGCGTTATTTGGCATCACAAGACGGACAGTACACTAGCATGTTGGCATTCCGACCAACAGGTAACTCATATTTGTTACTTATAGCTTCTGACCCGTCTTTTTAATTGGATTTCTGTCTCTTTTTTCATGCAGAAGATCGTTACCATTTTTTTTTTCAGGTTGGACTTACTCAGAGACCATTGGGGAGAATCTAAATTTAATAAAACCCACTTCTAAAGGCAACATCACTATTTATGGTGAGATAACTTGGTGCTTCTTAGGAGGTTTAGATCCCTCAATTTTTTTAATTTATAATTTGTGTCATTTAGTGTATGTTACGACTGCTTTTTGTGGGTCCTATTTGGCTGAGGTATTGATTCAACTCCTCTACTGCATTAATTTCCTGCAGGAGTTCCATATAGTGAGCATTCTAGTTTCACAGAGCTGCAGGAATTTGTGCAGGTTGAGTTGTTTTTCTATATTTCTTTTGGCTACTTGAATATTTAGTTAATGCCATCTTTGCCAACTGCCCAACTGGTAAAATTCCCAAGTGTATGTTTTTTTATATTTTACAAAATTATGCTATATCCCAATTATGGAACTATTTGGTTTTGCAGTTTCTGAGGCCAGAAAAGATAATTCCTACTGTCAATGTTGGAAATGCTGTAAATCGTGAGAAGATGCACTCGTACTTTCAGCAGTGGCTGAAATCCTGAAAGAGGAGCTGTTCTTTAGGCGATTAGGAAGTGTATTAGCTAGGTTATTGAAATGGGAATAATGTTACCGGCTGGGCAACAAAGGTGTTGTTCTGAGGTTGGAAATAGACAGTAGTGGCCCACTGTGAATGGACACACTGTCCGCTGCTCCTCTTATATTATATGGTGTTGTTGAGTGTTTTAAAATTCCTCTATCAACATCTTGAAACGGCAATATGGTATTAATTTTTCAGCAGTGGTGGATTTCCTGCACATCAAAATTACAGAATGCGTCTGTTGCTAGAGCATCATGAATAATCAATTGAGCGATCCTAAATCCGAATTTATCAGGATGGTCATTTTTATGTCTAAAAGTTTCATGTATGTATATTGCTGTTAATCACCTATCTGTCCTTGTCTCGCTGGAAGTTCGTAGTGTTTCCAGATATCATTTTGCCAGTCCATTTTTGGACTATAGCTTCAGTTAATGGGAATTATATTTCGTTTCCAAAGATCCCTGGATGAAGGAGATTGGCTCTTGCTGCGCTTCATTTTTGGAAGTAAGTACTCTTATTCTTAATTGGACATATGTTTTCTACCGTCAAACCTCTCTATAACAACATCGTTTGTTCCGATATTTTTGGGCTTTTATAGTGAATGGCTGTTATACACCTATAACAGCATTTGGCGTTTAACTATATTTTGGCTGTTATACACAAAAATTATCCAAAAATTAATTTTTTTAAATGTTACATAAAAAGATAATTATTTAGATTTAAAATCTCAAAATATATGAATATTTCACTAATTAAATGCTAAAGAAATCTAATACGTTATTATTAAACCCATAACTACACATAAAAAAATTAAACTCAAAGGAACACATTTTAAAGCTACTAGAAAATTAAATTCTTTCAAGATTGATGGAAAAACTCTATAATTGTAGCTTGTTTCATAGATTTCAGTCTCTTACTAAAGGTATAATGCTTGAATTGACAAAGATTTGCGTACTGTCTTGTCTTACATCCATTTGCAATAAAATGTCAGTTTAGTTGTCTAAAGTTAACTTGACTTGTTCAATCACATGATGATATTTTTCCATAGTGAAGCTCTATTAGTTTTCGGAAGCTAACATCCATAAAGGAAAAAATAAAGAAAGAAAAAATAATGTAGACTGTAGATTCAACATTAGAAAGGTGTTTACTGCTATCATAATAAAATAATATATTTTTATCATAGGATGTGCATTAAAGTCATAAAATATTTTATCAAAATTTTTAAAATTATTATTAGTAATGATCTTAGAGAATCTACATGGCTGATATAGAGGAGTAATTTTACAAAGAGCGTACTGTCATAAAGATGGTTGTTGCTGTTATAGGTGAAAAGCTGTTATAGAGGTAAAATATAACATAAAAAATCGGTTTTGAGAAAAATTTGGCTTTATAGTGAATGCATGTTATATCGGGATGCTGTTATAGAGAGGTCTGACTATAGTTGCAAATAGGTCCTTGAGAGTATGTTACTCCCACTCTGAAATATAGTTCCATTACATTTTGGATGAATAGTTTGTTATCCACATAATATATCTGTAGTGTGACAGAGCACCTATCTATGTCTACATTCTTTTTCCCATTGGTTTTTTTTAATTAGTTGGATGTTGCTGGAGCAAGAGAATTGGTTTCTTTCTGAAGGTAATATCAGGTTTAAGATGGCATATCAAAAGCTGTGGTCATGCCTCAATGTCTATTGAATTATATCTCGCTGGAATTTAGATGTTTGGTTTTCTGTGAGGTGCAGGTTTTGGAGAAGTCTTTTTCTTGAAGGTAACGATGTCTGTAAAATTTCCCTAATATTGGCTGTCTATTCTAATCTCAGATGTGCAATAACTCTTGGTCTGAATTCTTAGTTAATATCAGGAGACAACATATAACTATGCTAGTTAATTTTGTATCTGATCACTGATATTATTATAGGAAAATTTGTAGGCTTGGTATTTATCGGACAATGGTGACACCAACATGAAACCATTTCTGGAGTAAATGAGAGCCTGCTTTTGCTAGGATGCAAGGGAGTAGACTAAGAGCCCGTTTGGACATAAGAAAATTTTTCCTTTTTTCCAAAATAAATTTACTTTTTTTCGAAATCAACGTTAATAAAATTTTCAATTTTCACTTGAAGATGCATTTTGGAAATTTTTGAAAATTTGAAAAACTCCAAAAAGTTATTTTTCAAAATTTTCACTCAAATCACCACAAAACTTCAAAAACAACCCAAAATTATATTCATGTCCAAACACAATTCTAAATTTCAAATACCATTTTCACTTGAAAATTATTTTCCCCCTATTTTGGAATTTTACAATTCTTATGTCCAAACGCCCACTAAGATATGTTGAGATATCATTATACCTTTTAGGTGTCTAACTTGAGATATTTTATGAATTTACCACATAGAAGTGTTGCAAGAAACAATATTCGGTGTTATTATCTACTGTTTATGTCGGTATTCAACCAGAGGACAACTTTATTGTGCCTTTGAATTTCTAGGACTTATTTGGGTTCTTCTGAAGAAAAATCCATCTATTGTGTCATTATTATTGATTAGCCACAGTATCTGAAATTTTTTGTTATCTCCATAAACCTTTGGCTAATTACTGGCTATGAAGATTAAACTCTCTGAGTTTAGGATGCTGAAAGGACTATTAGTATATTAGATCGTTTGTTCCTTGATTGCTAGCAGTACTATTAGATTATGCTTTGTGGTCTCAGTAAGACATGTCTCATTGTTGAAAAATGAATGAGCTGCAGCCCTTCATGTACGATGTATCATGTAGGGGTCTGTTTCCTGATGGTGTTAATTGCCTCTCCTTTTGGCTTTCTTTGTTTTCGGTGTACACTTTTTCTCACTTTTCTGTATACGTGTGAACCCAATGCAAGGAGTGAGGGTTCGTCTTGGAACCACAAGATTTGGTGCTGCTGCTGTGCGAACACATATTTATTCTTGATGTTGTAGTTCATGGCTTGTCTAATTTGTGTGTCATTTTAGGACTTAGTTATTAAAATGCAGATTGTTTTGAGGTTGAAAATCTGCTTTTATAAATTATTTTCACCACCAAACAAGGCTCTCTGCATCTAATTTGGATAACGGTGCTAAAACCTGAGATGACATATGTGGTTACCTTCCGAAATCTTAGAATGGCTAGCCGGTAAAAGATGGATGCCACCTCAACATCGGCTTGTCATCCTTCAGTTAGGACTATAACTATCCGATAAAATGGAAGAGTACTTTTTTTTTTTCCGTTTTCCATCACTATTTTTTTTCCCCTTGTTGCCAACGGAATACAAAGAGGGTGACTCCTCCGAGAGAGGGGAAATGCACTTCCACCAAGCCACCAGAAACAAAGAAAGATAAGTGTAATCAACATATGATATTATGTGGCTCTCTTCATTTAGTTTTAGAACAATAGGGTATTGGCTGGAGAGAAGGGGGACATGTTCCTTACAACCCCCCACCCCACCCACCCAACGGAAATAATGACTACGTTGACGGCAAGAATCAAAGTTAGAAACAAGTCGTGGGGTGCACTAATAGAGCTCCACTTGAATTCCAGTGATAGTGAGAACGTATAATTTTATATTTTTCCTCGTAGAGGTAATCTGCTAAATAGATAGAACTGTAGTTTATATCTTGAGAAGAAAAAAAAAAAGACGTGTGCAACTCAATGCGCGTGACTAGTGCCTCATGCTTTAAAAATTGTCGGTTTGATTAAAAATAAATTCATTGTTGATAATCTTTTAGTGAAGGACTGAATATGAGTACAAGTTTGTTCAATTTGATACTATGATTTATTGCCTCTTTAATTACGTGATTGCAACTACAATAATAACACAATTATCATCCCAAGTTTCTGAGAATAAGTGAACAACCAAATCAGAGCACTTGAAAGACTAAACTAAATTAGCATAAGATCTGATGTAAATGCAATATATGCATAAAAAGACAAACTTTCCTGAAGTTTGAATCTTTATCAGTTCGTGAAGGAGATTGATCAAACAGTACATGGTCACGGAGTGTCACTTGTCACTAAGTGTTGAAGTAAAACATGTGGGACAGAAAAAGAAGGTCCATTCTCACTTGGTGAGAAAAGAGCGAAAGCTTAAGGAACGTTGTTCTTATTTGATCGCATTCTCAATTTCTCATATCCATTTTGGATTCTGAACCTAATGTTGTAAAAAGTGTGCTTGTAATCCCGCTATGAGATCGATTTTCCAGCTTCCATTCTTGCTGACAGATGCCCACGCGAGGCAGGCTTTAATCCCAACACTTGAGTTTCACTTCGCAAATAGGGCGGAAAAGTCCTTTAAGCTTATTTAACTGGATAACTGGCTACTTTTCAACTACTATATTAAAGCTGGTTATATTACAAAAAATAAGTTGTCTTAAAAGTGGCTACATGGTATAATATAAACAATAGTTAGGATTCATTTCGATTGGAATTTAGTAGGCTAGACCGCTAGAATCAATGTCAGTAATTGACAAAAAATTTCTTTGTACTGTCCGTAAGAAAAAATAATTTGGTCTCAAATGGATCGTTCGCCTTTTAATCTCTTGATCCTTTTTGTAATTTTAGCTAATAAGAAGAATTACCCATAAATTGGATTTAAAATCACAGTTTGCCAAAATGTCATGAATAAATATGCAACACAAATTCCATGAAGCGCCATAATTCAGAGAAAATGTCATAAAGAGGTGACATCTTCTAACATAAAGAGAAGAAAGGAGTCAATGGGTCCGGGAAGACGTGAAAGACAAATTATGATCCCGTGTTTGGGTAAATAAGGATCCTAATTGCCACATAAACAAATCTTTCACAAGAAACAGAAAATCATTCTGATAGTCCACCAATATATCATATATCCTTTATTTAAACAAAGGTGCTAGTTCTGCACAGTAAAAAACAAACCAGATCTCAGACTAAAAAAAAGGGCAGCCCGGTGCACTAAGCTCCCGCTATGCGCGAAGTCGGGGAAGGGCCGGACCACAAGGGTCTATCGCACGCAGCCTTATCATGCATTTCTGCAAGAGCCTGTTTCCACGGCTCGAACCTGTAATCTCCTGGTCACATGACAACAACTTTACCAGTTACGCCAAGGCTCCCCTTCAAACCAGATCTCAGACTATTAGGAGACAAAAAAGTAAAAAGGCAAAAATAGAAACTGAAAAGATAAAAAGAACGGACCAGAGATAAACCTCATTCGAAAGTTAAGTACCTTGTATCAGGAAAGCAATGCACTCCCCGTGGCTTTTACTTCTGATATAGATTGATTGCCCGAGAGGAATGGAAAAAGTGCCAGTTGGATTTTCATATATATGCTTTAATAGCCGATACAGGTCTATCTCAATTTTTCATACTGTATGTACATGGGGAGACAGCCGCTTATGAGAGATAAGCTTCTAATGTTCATAATTAAACCAACTGCCCAGGAGAGAGAAGCTTCTAATGTTCTTAATAAAACCAAATGCCCAGGACCCTATTATAGCGATGGACATGGGGCTGCCTACTTGATGAAGTAAAGAATCACAGTTCATTGAAAGGACTAATATTTTATTAAGGTCGGTAATGAAGAGTATAATTCTGCTAGGCATTGGAAGATCCAATTCAGCAACTGTTCTTTAGGTAGCTCCAAGAGCAGTTCAGCCTGAATAAGACACATCATTAGACAAAGCCACTTAGATATGGAAAACTTGCCTTTTCACATTAATTATATTCCAATTCTTATAAATGAAGAAAATGGAACCTTAGTGGATTATTATAGGCATAGCAAGGTAGTAAAACTCAACAAAACCATACCTTTATTTGGCCATCTTCAAAAATCAGAGAATTCTGATGAACATCTGAAGTTGCTGAATCAGTTATCAATTTGAAAACCTTTTTCGACATGTTTGTTTTCATGCCAACCATCTTTCCTGAAGCATATATGCTGGTAATTCCTAAATCTGCTGCCATTCTTCTGACATAAAGCTTCTTCAATAGGATTTCCATAGAGTAAGGTTCTTTGCCATACTGACGCCTCAGATTTTCCGTAAATTGCATTAAGCTGAAAATGTCCTTTTCAGCTGCTTTTTCAGCGCCATTAATGATTTGCATGGGGTTCTCCAAATGATTTATGTACTCGGAAGGAAGATGAGGGTTTATATTAATATCAAGCTGAGACAGGAAGTGAGAATTTTAAAAGGTTATACACATTTATTTGCAATTGCCAATGAAAGTAGCAGATAAGCTATAGGCTATATCTTTAACAATTGGATGTTACAAAAGCAGATTAACTTTAAATAGGAGGCACAACTTCATACAAGCTATTTGTAGAACCACTAGTCTAAAGTTCCTATATGAAGCTGTTTCCACGTGCCTAGGGAACCAACGGAGTCATGCTCAACATTTTAGCTAACTAACACGGCTTAACAGTTACTCCCTCCGTTTCAATTTATGTGAACCTATTTCTTTTTTAGTCCGTGCCAAAAAGAATGACATATTTCCATATTTGAAAACAATTTACCTTTTATGCAATGATTTATAGCCACACAAAATATATGTGCCTCATTTTACACCACAAGTTCAAAACTCTTCTCTTTTTCTTAAATTCCGTACCCAATCAAATAGGTTCACATAAGTTGAAACGGAAGGAATACTAATTATATTAGTTATGCTAATTTTGGTATGTACATGACTCAACAGTTACTAATTCCAGAACATAATTTTTTCCCCTTTTCTTGAGCCGAGGGTCTATCACAAACAATCTCTCCACCTTCACTAGGTAGGGGTAAGGTCTACATACACACTACCGTCCCCAAACCCCACTTGTGGGATTACACTTCTCTGCGTACACACAACCCTCCCCAGACCCCACTTGTAGATTTACATTGGGTCTGTTGTTGTGTTGTTGTAAAATTATTCATTTTTAAGATTTGAATTACTCTGGTTGACATTCTAACCAATCATTAAGAAATTAATGATTAATGACAGTGCCTCAAAAGAGCAGCAAGCAATAGGTATTGGGGAGTGGAGACACAACCGCCGACATATAATGGATTTTGTACTCGAAAAACATTTCAACTTATGGAAAATATGAGAGCATTAAATACCTTCATTGCATGGTAAGGAACTGATATTACACGATGCTCATCAACCTGGAATACAAATAAAGATAACAGATCTCATTACAATTTTCTTTCATTTTGAGAGGTACAATACTGATCCATAGATGTATCATCTATATCTATACTATATTATACTATATTAAAAGCAAGAACCCCAAAAGTGAAAAGTTAAATTACTTTAATACCCCTCTTATTAACCTAATATCCTATTTAATAATAATAATAATAATAATAATAATAATAATAATAATAATAATAATAATAAAAAAGCCTCCAAAGAGACCCAACGCTCCAAAGAGACACCTTATGTGAAGCCAATAATTTTACACGCTTAGGAAGCATATTCTCAAAACTGTCGTGCAAATATTTTCATGCTGTTTCAACATTTTGGACGAAAGGATGCAAAATTTGGATGCAACGATTCTCGCCAATGCTACGACATTTATCCAAAGGATCGTCCTTCTTTATCATAGTTTATTATATCCTATTTAGTTATTTCAAAAAAATAAAAATAAATAAATAATAATAATAATAATAATAATAATAATAATAATTAAAAATAATAATAATAAAGCCTCCAAAGAGACCCAACGCTCCAGAGAGACACCTTATGTGAAGCCAATAAGTTTACACGGTTGTCGTGCAAATATTTTCATGCCGTTTCAACATTTTGGACCAAAGGATGCAAAATTTGGATGCAACGATTCTTGCCAATGCTACGACATTTATCCAAAGGATCGTCCTTCTTTATCATAGTTTATTTTGAGGAAATAAAGTAATATTCATGGAAGGCAAAGTCAATTCCAAAGTGAATAAACAATAAAGTGACAACAAAATCGGGTTCTTCTTTCTTTACTCTATTCATTCTTTAATATTTGTTCTTTGTGATTTATGAAATTAAATATGTATAAATATTAGGATGGATGGTTATGATCTAATATGATTCTTCAATTTATGTGTATCGTGGTCTGATTCAACAAATGATTATGCTACTTCTTTGAATCCTTTTTGTTTTCTATTTCGCTTTCATTGTTTTCCCCTTGTACTTGACAATTATAAATAAAGTAGAAACTGATGAGATAAATAATTTAGGTTCTAATTCTATTTAGAGCACAGACAGAGTGCGAAACTTGAAAACATGTGTATAAGCCATGTAATTGATTCTTTGATTTAAAATTATGAAAGGCAAAGATATTTCCCCAGAAATCGAGATTCGTGGCAACCACAATATTTCTTAAGAGGCTGCACAAGCACTAAGTGTTGCCACTTGGTATAATTAGTAAAATTCTTTCAACCTTTCGGTATATATAGATGCAATACACATCTCACTTTTGATGACAAAAAAAATGGGGGAAATGATTTGATGGCGGCCGCCAACCTGCGGCATATGATATTTGGGATGAAGTTCTTAGATTGTTGAAGAATAGAAAAGAAATTGCAGGTAATATCTTAAATAATGCTTTGGATAACATCTTTCAATAATCTAGCTACAGATTCCTTTTGGAGTTAAAAGTTGTAGTTTTGTATAGATAGAGTTAGAGCAATTTAAACACTTGAGGATCAACGCTACGTACGGTAAAGAATAAACTACGCAAATCTAGTGATACATACTGAAACTTAAGATTTGTATTTCTATTCTACATGTGCTTAAATGATTTAAATACTTAATTGGATTTAATTTTGGCTGATTGATATATTTTAATTCATAATAGTAATTTGATTATTCAATTAAACTAGGGTTTGCCAATTATTCATAAGTAAAAGTGACAATTTAATTTTTGAAAAGACAAACAATATTGAAAAAGTTACAATCAGGTAATATATTTCGTTTACTATGAGTACATGGGCGATGGATCTTTTTGTCGTGACATTTTTGGCTTTGTTTCTTTTACATAAACTTTGCTCATTTAGTCAACATCATGTATATGAGGAGGTTTTACTCGGTAATAGAGTTACTCTGTGCCTAAAGTTAATCGTTTGTTTGCAAAGTTTGCCGTCTGCTTGGAACAAACTTTCAGATATTGGTGTTTTATTAGAATGAACGTTCGTGTTTATCCCAAGAAAATTCAACTTTATCCCCTTAAAAATCAAGGATATCTTTTCAAATTTGTCTACAAATAATACTTTACGATAATGATAAATAACGCATAGAGTCAAACAATTTTTAATTATAACATGTTTTGTTACATGACCAGTATGTTTGTACCTCATAAAATCAAAATAAGTAAACGAAATCACATGTTTGTACGAAACTTATATTTTATAGTCTTCATGTATAATTATTTATTAAAACCTTTTATTTTGATACATGACTCGACATACACGTGCAACGCACGTGCCGAGAAACTAGCAATCTCAAAATAAGGGAGGAGGATAGCATGCAGAAAGCAATGCTAGCTTAGGCACAAACCAGTCAATTTTATCTTTGTAACTAGAAATAATGGAGTAAAAGGATGACGGAAACAGACCTTTGACAAGCTTTCAAATAGCATCTCAAAGAATAGATCAATGCCCACATTGCCGACATCCCCTGTCTGTTGCTCGCCAAAAATATTACCAAATCCTCTAATAGCCATGTCTCTTTCTGCAAGCTGAAAACCCTGGCCAAGTTCACAGCACTCTTCAAGAGCAGCAAGCCTCTCCTAAATTGTCAAATAAATGGCATGTTACAGCCATAATAAAGAAAAATCTTCCGCAAATAACTTCACACAACGTGCATATCACAGAATTTGTCCTTGATAAGATAAAATTAGAACCCTTGTTCTGTTGGAAAATACTGCAACATTACCAAAATAAAGGCAAGATGACAGAATATAAGAATCATCTCCTACATATCTTATTAATAGAAGTATATAGAGGAAAGAGAGCATACTAGTGCATGGTCAGAAAGAAGTGATTTGTCAGGATAAAATAAGTGTGCATGAGCTTCCTTATCCGCCCGTCCGACCCTTCCACGCAACTACAGTAATCAAAGAGGGAGTAGGAATTAGAAGGAATATCAAAGTCACAGCACCTAGCATTCCAAGGATCAATAACCACAATCGCTAAGAATCTGCAAAGTTAAGATATGGAATTGTCAGCAGCACGTCATCATGCCCTGATTAGCACATGGTAAAAATATACGAGTCTCATAAATTCCGCTCAAGGACATCTGAATTGCAAAAACTACAGTATCAACAGAAGCTATTAAGAGAGAAGGGGCCAAATTTTGAAATGAAGGGCTGAAAATCTTTGACCAATCAACTTTAGTAGTAAATACAATGAAAAGGGAAACCGGGAAAGAGAAAAAAGATGCTTCTTCATTGGAGTTTGAAATCACTACATTATTTGAGTTGAAGAAATCGATTGGCTTCACCTCAGCTGCAATAGCAGGCCAGGTGGTTCCCCATGGTCAATAAGAGAACCAAACCCCAGAGATTCCTCTTGAAAGAAACAATAGAAGACTTTGCAATACCACAAAAGGCTGATTCAACCACATTTGTTCTCATAAGAATGAGCTTGGCTGAAATGCCACAAGGAAAATAGCACTATGTATGCTATTGAACTTCGATGTAATCTCAAGACTACAAGGAGGTTACAAATACTCGCTGTCCACCTGGAGGACCAAAGTTTGAACTGACTAAACCCCAAGCTACCTAAGTTATCCCAAAAGGTAAATTTTCTCTTTTAGCACCATCAATCATCTTGTATGATTTATCCCAAAAGGTAAATTTTCTCTTTTAGCAGCATTAATCATCTTGTATGATTAATCAGGTACATTAAGGAAACAGGGAGATTCTGTATTAATTCAGAGCTGCGCTAACAGCACATGCTGTCAAAGAATATCTTATTCATCTACAATTGAACAAAAGGTTGTATCAAAGTAAACTACGCTTTCATCACTTATGCCTAAGAAAATTCAGTAGGTAAAAACAAATGATCTGCCTCCTGGTTTCAATGTCACTTATACAATGTATGAAGGAACTACCAATAAGAATGGAAGACAAGACGACAACAAAAAGCTTTCTATTTGTTTAGGCAAGAGAATGTAAAAACCTGATACAATTGTGCAAGTCCAAATTGCTGAACATCTTGAATGATGATTGTATTTGCATTTTGAATATCAAGGCCACTTTCTACTATGTTTGTACATATAAGAATTCTAATGTCTCCCCGTGCAAATCTTTCCATAGTTTCCTCAAGCTGTTTTGAGTATTGCTGCCAAAAAAGATGAAATGGCATGTCAGACCACTAGAACTGGACAATGCAGTGTAGATGCTATGTAAGTATGAGTTCATATCTTTAGCGTCAAAAGACTGAATAAACATGAATATTCTATCAGTTCCAGAACTTAAAGCAAACTCAATTAATCCCACAATTACCTTTCCATGAGCAATAGCTATTTCAACATATGGGAATGCTTGTTCTAAAAATTCCATAACATCTTCAAGACCTGCGAATAATAGACAAACCCATGTAACTACAAAGAGTACAATGGATGAACTTCAGCAAACTGCTCTATAGCATGGCCACCAAATTACATAATGCTACTCACAATTAATGTGCGTAAAAGGCACAGAATGCATTACCCTTAATGCGGGGCAAGACATAAAAAACTCGGCCACCACGGTCCAATTCATGCTTGATAGCTGTTATTACTTTGTCCTTGCTGTAAGCTGAAAGATGTGTTCTTATCGGAACTCTCTCAGGAGGTGGTGTTGAGATCATACTGTTTGAGTGGGAAAAGAAAATGGGGGCAGCCATAAAGCAAAACAGTCAAAAAATTGAGCAGGCAAAGTGTAGAGTTGAATGTAACTTCACAATTGGTCAAATCTAGCCAACATTGACAACTGCTAAATGAATGATACCCAATTTCAGCTGCTGGAGGTGCCCAACAGTATAGTGGATACTTCATCAACAGCCAGTCAGGGCTTTGATAAATTGAAACAAACCCGGTGGTATTACCTAGCGTCACGAAATCCGGTTAATGCTAAATAGAGAGTTCTTGGAATAGGCGTTGCTGAAAGTGTAAGAACATCCACTGAGGTTTTAAATGAAGCAATCTTCTCCTNCACACACACAGAGGAAGGTTCATGGTTAACTATCTTCTTCAATAAATTTAATTTACTATCCATTTTAGTAGATAATGAGAAAAACTTATTTCCATGAATAAATGTCATTTACTTCAATAAACTTATGTCATTTACCTTCCGTACTTCTTTTGTTAGACTCTGGTGTATAGAGATACCAGTCTCCTTCTGTAGCTTGTGACTTATGATGTTCCGGGTTTTGGGAAGACTGTGTATTTATAGAGTATTGGTTATCGTACATGCCGAGCGGCATTGTTACTAGTTATTCAGTTATCCACTGCTGTTAGTTGCCAAGTTTTACTTTCGTTTTTGTTATATTTCCGCAATTTGTTAGGCTTACCTAGTCGTAGAGACTAGGTGCCGTCACGACGTTATACGGAGGGAGTTTGGGTCGTGACAGCTTAGATGCTTTGCCCTTGGTTGTTATATTTTCCTTGAATAAATAAGGTCTTGTATTCCATATTCCATGTTTTAGTCGTAAACATCGGATAGAATGGGTTATCCAATTCGTCACTCAATTGGCAGAGATCATAAAGGGTGGAGCCATTATCTACGTCAGTAATAAGTGGTCCTTACTATTTTGATAGGCAGTCCCTGGCCAACTATCAATCTGATCCTGGACTCTACACTATTTCACTTGATGCAAGGAAAATTGATTACTCCTGGCACTACGAAGAAATGTTTGGTTAAAAGGACAAAGGTCAGTGCAAAAACCAGAATAGTTCATTGCTACACTAGGTCCAACTAGCCAGATAGATGCACACAATTTGCGGCAGAGATAACTATAAGACACCACAGTGCTTAACTGCCTTTTAACCAAAGACCAAAAACACTCATGAAGAAGAAAAATGACAACCTTTTTATAGCTATGGACTGTCCATTTCATACGATTCCAGTTGTTAATACTTTATGCATGAGTCAAATAGAATTTGCATACAAAAAAATAGGTCCATTTGCAACAAATCCGAGTATAACTGAATGAACAGATGAGAGCCATTAAAACCTTAATGTCAAATCCTACAAAACAATTGGATCATCTCCACAATGCATGACGTAATTCATCTCATGCTGTAAATATATCAGTCTGTGGTTAATATGAAAGTTATAGATTAAAGATTCACAAGACACAAATGTGCCTCCTGAACTTCCTAGAGCAGCATATCAGCTAAAGCAAAGAATAGAAATACACTAATACAGAACAGCAAAGAGAGACTTAATAGACCTGAGTTCCATATTTTCAATGCGGATACGTTCAACATATAAGTCATGATCTTCTGCTTCACTGTTGATCTCATCGTCTTTTTTGGGATCCTTTTTGCGCCGTGAACTTGATCTCCTCGAAAATAGTCTATCAATCCTGGCAGCATAAGAACCTAAGAGTGCTAAGACACAATGCATTCACTAAAACATTGAAAAAAGGCCCAAAACAGAGGCAAAGTGGAGATGAACTTTAGAATTCTATCTTCACATTTTCACCAGAAGGGTTCAGAAAGTTATAGGAACTTCATTTCAAGTACAATGCAAACAGTAAACAGGTTTTTACTATACTAAAGTATCTAAAAGTCACTTACCTTGTTTTTCTCAAAATCCATGCCCAAGTGCGTCCAATAATCATGTCCACTTTTTCCATGAAAAAGTAATCAGTAGTCCTATCAATTCCAATGCCGCGTCGAAAGATTACATACTGGAAAGAAAAGGTACGTATATAGAGATTCAGTGGCATGATCAAACTCTTGACTCTCATCCTTTTCCCTCGAGAAATATATGTTCATATTACACATTGATATACTTAATAAATTTCGAGGTAAAACATTGATATACCATATAAGTTGAACAGCTCAAATACAATATAATACATCCATGATACTATTTGCAGGTTCAAAAAGATATAAGTGACAACACGTGCACAAGTCACTCTTTACCTTTGTTGAAGCTTGTGTGCACTATTACAGGTTTGAGGAGCAGACCTTGAACAATGATTAATCTTTTGAAAACTAGCAAGAAGATGAGAGGATAAAGATTCCAGTTTGTGCTCAGTCATAACACACTTTTTTGAATCCGTGGTGAAAATAAAAATCTTTCATCAAAGAAAAAGAAGAAAGGGCCAGTAAGCACAATATAACTCTAAAGTTCTTCGCAATAAATGATCGCATACTTTTGCTTGTGTTTTATTGGAGTGCAAATTCCTTCTTGCCAAAATCATGGGCAGTAATGGACATCCTGACACCTAAGAGCTAATGTTGTATAGGGACAGTGGTTACTTCAAGATTCACTTTAAACAGCCAATCATACTTGCTGCAAAGCAACAATGAGATAGGGAAATAAATGGACACCATATGTGGATATCAAGGATTCAAGTCGCATTCTTGAACCCCAAACAATGCAAGGCACCAACAAAAAGCAGATTGGGAAATATTCAATTTGGTGAAAATTTCATAAATACAACCAGAAGCTACACTTGTCGACCTAGCATCTGGGAGCCATTAACTTCATACCAAACGTTCCAGCAAAAGTAAAGGCCTCATTTCAAATTGTAACTTGAAGCTACACTAAGAGATATACCTTGTCAGCAAACTCTGGAAGGTCCTCATGAGGATGCTCTGCAAAATACTTCTCTAAAAGTTTTTTGTCAAGCTGCATCCAGGAAAAGGTAGAGTGAATCGCATAGCGAACATGACAAAATGGAACTATATCAAGAGAGCCAATAATTGTCGGAACCAAATTATATGCGGAAGCAGCTGGTTAAGAACCTTAGATTCATCAACAGTGATTGGAAGATTTAGAAGATACTGTCCTGAATGTGCAACATCAATCTCTTCATCACTAGCTATTTTAAAATTGCTTTTGTGCATAATCTGCATCAGCATAAGAGAAATGATGATAGAAAGTGGAGAATGAAATAAGGGTGCCAGAACACAAATGTCATACCCATTTCCCTTAATCCTCCAGCTAGATGTGGAAAAGCATTCAGAATTCACTGCACTTAGAGTTTGATGCAAGTTTAAAATCCATTACAGGCTTGGCCTCAATAGCATGATAATGCAGTGCAAAATAACGGAAAACGACTTTAGCGATAAATGAATAATATATAGCCGTTCCCCATGCTTGAAAATAAAGAAATATCCCCTTCCATTTCGATTTTGCAACAAAACAGCATAAATATGCGAAACTTTCTTATTGTAAGGCTACTCCTTATGATTAAAAATGGGAAGCATGTGTTAGAAAAAACAAAGTAAAAGAGAAAAAAAACAGGAAAATGAAGGACGAAGCAACTCCCACTCCCTGAAGACAAAAACCTCGACCTCTTACCTTTCACCTCACTGGTTGTCTCCCTCCCCTGAGAAAAAACAATTATTCGCTATGTCCCAATTTATGTGATGCACTTTCCTTTTTAGTATGTCCCAAAAAGAATTATACCTTACTATATTTAAAAAAAAATTAAAACTTTCCATTTTACCCTTAATGAGATAATCTATAGCCACAAAAATATCTATGACTTGTTTAGACCACAAGTTCCAAAAGCTTTCTTTCTTTCTTAAATTTTGTGCCCAGCTAAACAACATCACATAAAATGGGACGGAAGGAGTAGTTTTTCCTCTCAATTTAATCCAATAGAATTTTCTTCCATTTCAGTGGAGATCTTACACTTAATAACTGATGCAGGATTATATCTTTTGTTATATTTTTATTTCCTAGGCTCGGGAAGGAGAGGATAGCATGTTTTCACCTCCGCTGGGGATTTTCTTTTGAAGGTACATAAATGTCAGGGCCCTCATACAAGGGTTGTAGATCGAAAGTATTCTAACTATCTTCTTTTTTTCGGGTAAATTGTTGAGCCATGGGTACACACATACACAAATATATAGAGAGAGATATCTTCATATAAGCAACTGCAGACTATAAATATGCACACACAGAAGACAGATATGAGATTGGATTTTTTATCAAATTTAAACTGGAACACCAATATCCCGACTAAAGATACGCGGATACAATAGAATATAGCAGCTGATGGTGTTACTGAAAGGTCCAACACGGGTGCTCAAAGTCCACTTGGGCAAATGCGGCTAGGGAGTCAGAAAGAATGAGATGGGCGACGGACTTGCCCTACTGTCAGAGCTAGTGGTGTGTTCTTGAGATGAAGGCTTAGCATTCACCACCTTCCACGTTTCCGACTTTCTCTTATTTGAACTTTTTAGATCAGTCAACTTGAGTAAGCAACTTGGGCCAAGGGATGAAACTCAAGTCTCTAGCTCTCAAGTATACTGAGTAGGCAACTTGGGCTTGCATGTTATACATATTTTTTTAACTAGTATACTGAGTAGGCAACTGGGGCTTGCATGTTATATAATGAATCCAAACAGCCCATATAGCTGGCTCAGGTACCAGAGGAAAACAAACTTTAGATGAAGCTGCAGATTTTTTACCTGAAACAAATATGTCAAGAAATTCTGTTCAAGAATGTCAATCTCTTCTGGAGATAACTTCTGTTGTTCCAATTTCTTAGCCCCGTTCACAGGATCAAACAAAGAGTATAATTGCTGCAATCAGACAAATATTATTGATCAAAACACAATATCAACATCAGCATATTATATTCATTTGCAGCAGACTGATGAGAAAAGATGTCTGATCAAATAAAAAGTAGCATAAGATTATATTACCATGAGATCCTCAAATTGTAGAAGATACCAAGCATGAATTGTGTACTCAACCCTCTTGCAAAGCTTCAGAAATTCAGCCCGGTCAGAACTATGTTCTGGGCAAGGAGGAAGGTCGGATCATTAGAACCTCAAAAAAGACTTTTACTTAAATAACCAATCATAAAAAAGCACTAAAGGGACTAGAAGCACAGATATTCATGCAGCATTTTACAGTTTCAAGAAAAGTAGATTTTCTGAAGAAGAAAAAAAGAGTGGAAATGAGCTGCCAAGACGCAGACATGATTTACGTATATCCAGAAGGAAAACTTGTTTCTGTTAAAAATTCTAAACATATAACACGTCAAAGCTTATCAGTGAAGGAAGGGTTTTGAAACCTTTTGGGGATTTTGATCCATGACCATCAAGTGTCTCCGTAAAATTCACATGGAGGGTGTACAGGGTCCCCCCTTCTTTTGAACTGGGGTCTCCTCCTTTTGAAATGTCCAGCACTAATTTACTGCGTTGTTTTTACTGTGAGTAATACTGTTACTTATCTATCCAAAAAATTACATAGAGGGAAGTCGTTTCAAAAGCTTACAATTTCTTGAAATCCATGAGGACTTGATGAAAAGATGGAAGCCTTTCTATTTCGGTTAGAGTTTATATGCTCGAGTGACCGTGTAAGGAGAAGTGTAAGATTTAGACAATTCACGGTTATAGAGAAACCCTTATTTGTCCTAAAAGACAATTTATTGAGTAGTGGAATGAAACAAGCCAATGGAGCAGAATGATAATGAGAAAATCACATAACCAACTCCAACTAGTTATGAATCAGGGTGGAGTTGCAAAAGTAAAATCTCTATTAAGCATCTAATTTCTTAAATTCAAGAGATTGTGAACTTCTGAGTTGAGTGAAAGTGACTTACTCTAAGAAAGTATTTAATGATAAAACTCGCAATTGAGATAAGTCAAATGGTAAACCTTGGAAAATAATCTAATTTAATCTGGGAAAATATCTAATTCACACAACAGTAAATCTAATTAATCTGGGAAAATAATCAAGGTCAAATTGTCTGCTTTGTCACAATACAATTAGAGTGCCTCAGAAAACAACATTAAATTTTGCAAAATTAAACCATTAAGGGGGTTGCTGTTTACACGAAAAAAGCTAAAACTCAGACGTCACCAAAACTATGAGATCGTGTAAAGTTAGTAACATTTTAGGTTTAAATTCATGGCACGCAATAATTGCTTGACATTCAGGAGAAAGACAAAAAAGTGACTGCCGTTCCCTATAGAGTCTAGCGTAGAAAGTTGTATTATTTGCTTCAAAGATCTCCTCTTGGAGAAAGAAGCATTGTTTCCTTACACTGCCATTTTCTATGGTCTAGTATAGGAAGTTCTATTGTTTGCTTTAAAAGTCTCCTCGGATTATAGCAGAGTTGTACTTGTGCTAGTCAAATTTGGTAGTTTTTTCCACAGAAGTAACAGAAAGTGAAAATATCAGAGATATTATCCAATTAAATTAGAGGAGAAGAATTGTTTCAAAATTCAAACAACTGATCGACCACAAAATAGAGAGGGAAGAAAGAGTAGCCGGTTGTTTGGGAGCATCCAATTTTTACCTATAAGGTCGGCGAGGGCCATGATGAGCCTGGGTTTGAGGACTGGAATAACAGACTCGCGCTCCAAACGGATCACCTCTTTCTTCTTCTCCATTCTAATTCCCCCCGTCTTCCCAGGGCACAAAGATTCCAAAGATAGAAACAAGGGCAATGCTCTATCCAATCGGTGTTTTTGTTAAAAGTGTAGTAAGTGACATTTAAGGAATAAAAAAGGTGTAACGGTAGAAATCAATCAACCGACGAAATGAAGAAGCATTGCAAGAGACGTTCCTTCCAATCTTTCATTTAATTAGTTGTGTTGTGGGTTACTCAATTCTAATTTAGTTTTCCTTTTTTTATTAAAAATACATATGAAGCGTGAGGAAAGTGAGAATGAGGAATATTAATATGCCAATTTACTAACTTAAAAGTGTTGCCAATTTTTTTCCCTTATTATGAACTCTTAAATTCTACCGACTTTTGCGTACCAACGAATCCACGATAAATCACTCTAAATGAAGTAAAATATTTTTAAAAACAATATACAACCCTCTCTTCTCGTTAATTTTTAATTTAGCCAAATGCATCCGGAGAAAACACTAATGAGCGAATCATGAAGGGTTACCACATTAAGCTGGTAGTGATGGTACAATTTCCGCCTCAAAATAAACCAACATAATGCCCAAAGTACATAGCACAAAACCTCACTTCTGCAGTTAGGTGTAGGTAATGTTGTCAGAAGAATTTTCTAACAATTTAGTTTGTACTGAAAGGAGAGCATTGAACAAAATATGCGACATTTTATTTTACCAACAAAGAAAAAAATGAAAAATACGAGCAACACTATATTAGCTAGATATCTAGTTAAAGAACCATTGGATCTCCATGACTAAACCAATCTCCCTATATCTATAAATATCTAGTATATACACAGACATTAGATTTGTCTAACGTATGTATTTACAAAAAGCCTATGAGGCTTGACATCGTCAAGAAAAGCCTTGCAGCAGCCTCACCTCAAAACAATTGCAATAAAATCTGGCTGCATCTTGATTCTTGTGGTGTACAAGTTTACATCAACTTTTGTCCTGCAGACTCTTGGAGCCGCGTATCATTGTGCAACGCAACATCCCTATGGATTCCAGGACCTCAAGAATGGTTTACCCATCGAATCCTGTAACCCAGGATTCTGAGTAGACATGCTCACCCATCCGAGACCATTGGGTTTAAGGCCTCCAGGACTTTCCTGGCTACTCATGTAACTAAGGGGTTTAGCTGGTTGCAGCGAGGCATTGCTCGTTGTGGTAACTGCCGCATCCATCTCACCATAGTTCCTTGAAGGGATCAAGCGTTCTCTTGGTCCTGATAGATCATAAGAGCCACTCTGATGCAGTGTGTTACATTCAGATAAAACACTGTACAAGCTCTGATCTGAGTTGTTTACACTTCCAATGCTCTGAGATGGACCGCCAATACCTTCCAAAGTAGACCAGGCCCCACGGCCATGATTCTCTCCAGAGAACCAATTCTGACTTAACAAGTCTCCACTGCTTAAATGAGTTTGAGACGGTGCTGATACATGAACAGAATTGACAGCCCAATCTTGCATGCCAACATTCAACTGCTCATGCCTAGGGAAAGAGTATCGACCTCCATCTGGGTATAGATTCTCCTGAAAGTTCTGATGCATGAGGAGATCATTCAGTCCCTTGTGCCTTAGCTCCAAGGGTAACTGCGCATGAAGCTGCTCCCTTAAATGACCAGAATATTGACCTGGCTCCACGATCAGATTGCTTGATGGTTGGTACACCAGTGGAGGCTGTCTATGCTCATGATTGTAAGATAAACTATCTGGACCTTTAAAAAATGGTTGAAACATTTCATTCCTGTTCTGAGGGTATGAACCAAAAAGAGAAACATCACTGGGTTCTCTGGGCAACATATCCCTCCCAGCATCCTTTTCTGTAGGGACAACTCCCAGATTAATAAGACTAGCCGCTGGCTCATCGGTAACTCGAGGATGCCCAAGTGACAACTCCTCAACAGAAGAATATTCATGACTTATGGGAGTGGCACGTCCATAAGAAGTAGCTATGCTAACTGCTGACCAACCATTACTGGTAGAAGCAAGAGGATCCCCCTGATCAACAGGACCATCCACATTATTCAACCCTTCCTCAGGATACTCCGATAGAGTTGGAGAAACTTCATCTGCTTGCTGGATTATATGGTTCTCGTTAGAGTCCAGCTTAAAGTGGTCTAACTGATTGCTCTCAACAAGTGAAACATGATCAAGATGCTGATTGAGTGAGACGGGGAGAGATTCATCATCATAATCAGTGTTAGCTGTGCTATCAGGAGTCTGTTTATCACATAAGCTTGCAGACTCTCCTCCCTCCTGATCCTGACCATCATATAACCCAAAGAGTTTTATTTGAATCTTATCAAGCACATAGGAAAACTAACAGATTTCTTCTCAGGAAAATTATGGTTTAACTAAAAGATCTTAACTGAATACTCTACCACTCATTTATTTGTATTTAACGAGACAGGGCCCGTGTTTTTAAGAAGACTATCTTCCCTTTGACAATACAAAAGTTGGTAAGAATTTAGGTGAATTCTTTTCGCCTCAATACAATTGTTTTTCTATTAGTATAACTGACCTCTGGCTGTAGAGGAAGCTCATCATTTACTATTTCTCTTTCCATTTGCTTCTTGATCAACCCATCACATTCTTCTTTGCCCTCATGCTGATCAACCTAAAGCAAACTTGGAAAATGTTTAAATTAGACAAGAAGACCATCTTCCCTTCGACATACACGAATTGTAAGAATGTAGGTGAAGACTTTTCGCCTCTATACAATTGGTTTTCTATCAGTATAACTGACCTCCGACTGTAGAAAAAGCTCAGTATTTACTATTTCGCTTTCCATTTGCTTTTCGATCAACCCATCAGATTTTTCGTTGCTCTCATGCTGATCAACCTAGAGCAAACTCAGACAATTCAACAATTAGACAAGGAGACCATCTTCCCTTTGACATACATGAATTGTAAGAATGTAGGTGAAGACTTTTCGCTATAAAATTGGTTTTCTATTAGTATAACTGACCTCCGGCTGTAGAGAAAGCTCATTATTTACTATCTCGCATTCCATTTGCATCTCGACCAACCCATCAGATTTTCCGTTGCTCTCATGCTGATCAACCTAGAGCAAACTTAAACAATTTAACAATTAGACAAGGAGACCATCTTCCCTTTTGACATACACTAATTATAAGAATGTAGGTGAAGACTTTTGGCCTCTATACATTTGGTTTTTTAGTATAACTGACCTCCAAGTGTAGAGAAAGCTCATTATTTACTATCTCGCTTTCCATCTGCTTCTCAATCAACCCATCAGATATTTTGTTGCCCTCTGGCTGATCAACCTAGAGCAAACTTAGACAATTTAACAATTAGATAACTAAGATAGACTATCTGGAACTTCCATTAGAAAAAACAAGAAAACCATTCAGAAGAATATAATCTTCAAAACTGATTCCTCAAAAGGTGAAGAGATAAAAACCACAATGACCCTCAGACACAAAGGGGAGATAAGCTAAAAGTATAAACCTCTACTTCCATTGAGAGTGCAACTTCTGCTTCTTTATTATCAGTTAGTTCAGCAAAGATCCCATCAGAGCTCCTTCTCTCTTCTCCTTCTTTAGTATCAGTTAGTTCTGCAAAGATCCCATCAGGGATCTTTTCCTCTTCCCCCTGATAAACCAAGTAAAAACAAATTGTCAGATAATTCAGGAGATTCTGGGAACTTGATATATAAGATGCACTCCTAAGATAGACCTTAATTTGGACTTTCAGTTTCTGTTCCATTTCTTGACCTAATGATTTTCTCACTTGCAATCCCTGTGAACGTCTCTGTATCCAGTTTGCAAAACCAGCAGGGACATCCCTGTTTGCCAGGTGCAGCCTGTACAAACACACTATGAACTGATATGGAAAACATTGATAAACTAGAAGAAACGTTTTGCTCCACAGCACTAACCAGTGGTCATGTAACTTCTGACGTTCCTCTTCCTCATAAAATTCAAATGGCTGTACATGGAGATTTTCCATATCACCTAACACGTTGCTCAGAGACCTGGGCTGAATGCTATTACTATTATGCTTCATGCTGTTCTTAACACGTTGATAGTGTTCTCGACTGACCTGAAATATGATGAAGAAAGGAGGGGAAGAAGGATGGAGAAAGAGTATCAGCCATTGGAACTCGAGAAAATTCCATATAATCAACAAGTCCCGACTCCCAACAGAATTTCCACACATGAAGGACTGAAATGAAAAGCATTCTATGTAAGAACTCAAGAGACAAAATGGCTGGCTAACATCTTGCTGAATAATGGCAGCAACATGTGAGAGCTCCAATTTTTGGTGAGAAAACAATCAAAATCAAGATCATTGGAAAATTTTAAATAGATTCATAAGATGTTCCAACCAAAGCATAGCCACCTTAATATAAGACATGTATTTGGCGCCATCGCTGTGTTGGATATTGCGCTTGTTTAGCTTTTCTCCTTTCCTAGACCTTCCAATCACCTTAGCTCCATCAGGTGAACTGCCATAGGTTCCTTCTGTGAAGCCCTTTCTGAATACCAAAAAAGGCACGTCTGTCATGCTCCCTTATAGTGGGGAAAGATGCAATTACCATATTAACAATCACAAGCATACAACCAGAATTTAAGAAGTCACAGTGTAAGCTTATTGTATCTTCTCTTTTGCTTCCTCATTCAATAAATTCTTTTCATCTACTTTATTCAAACAGATTCATTGATAACCAAAAAGGTTAAGCTCAATTCAAGAACAACAATGTCAAGAAAAAAGAACCAAAAGGATCTTTGCATGAAACTCCTACTCTGGCACAACTTAGTGCAGTTGTCAAAACGATTTCAATATTTCTTCTAAATTATCCTTTATCTCTTTTCATGTGCTTCTTTCTTTCTTCTTAAATTTCCTTATATATCGAGATCAATACAGAAAGACAGTGCTCAAGGCAAAAGACAGTATACCCTCTCTGACTATCCCCATCCAACATCAAAATGTTCAGGCGTTCATTACTACAACCTTTGTCATGCCGAGATGAAGATTCAGGTGTCATAAAAAGGGTATCCTAGATTCCATGAAATTCAGGCTCAACAAGAAAACGACATGGAAAAAAGAGGAAAAGTCTTCAGATTTATCAATGAAGTGGTTTGGCTCCTAACCCGGAAATTTCCTTTGCAAACCAATAGTGAATCGACTTTTTAGTGTGAAAAGAAAGAAGAAAAGAGGTGAATTCTCACCAACTAAACACTGTCTATATTCCTAAAGTATTCCTGGCGTTTGGTAAACAAGAAAGTCATGGGCGGACACAAGTTTTAAGACGTTATAGTCAAGTTATTTATAAATTCTTTCTTCAAACTTTTCATCATTTTGAAGCATTTTATGCTCTATTGGGCAATAAATTCATTCGACTTTTGTTACGAGGTAAATAATGAAATCATTAGACTTTTCTTACGAGGTAAATAATGAAATCATTTGACATCAAAAATAATTATAAATTACGCTCTACTCAGTTCTTTTCTTCTTGAGGATTTTTCACACAAAACATTTTGTGATATTTTTTGAACCTGAGCTTTTAATCTTCAGTTTCACTTGACCAAACTCTGTATGGTTTGGAAATGGAATTATTTTAAGACATAGTCGACAGTGGGAAACACACATTCAGTTTACAGTGGAGACAGAGGAGAAGGCAAGACATAAAGAAACCCAAGAGAACACATGATGTTTTTAACTAAATTAGTGGCACAATTCAAGCCGATGTGTGGATAACATTACGCATTTACCGCATTCTCCACTGAAGGTGGAAACTTCAAAAACAAATTTTAGCAAAACTCAAAATGCGAGCAATAAAATATTCCGCAATCTTAAGTTAATTCTCTTCTCTTTTTTAACTTCCATTTCCCATTCAAATAAATATATGCATAAAAAAGTCTCACTCCCTTTCTTTTCCTTTACTTCATTATTGCTGAGAAGCAAATTTTCTAGTTGCTTCTTTAAGATCCTAAAGAAACCTATGATATAAGAAAATGAAAGAGAACTCACCTCAATATTCTCTCCACCAATTCTTCCTCAGAGTCTTTACAGCTCTCCACATTTTCCTTCCATAACTGCAACTTCTCAATCATACTGCCACGAGAAGTAAAATGTAACGCAAACAGCAAAATGTTCTGAAAATAAGGTTAAAAAGGGACAGTTAGGAAAACTGCATACTTATTATGGTAATTTTGTAATTCCATGTAATACGCCTTCTTGTTAGCCTTGAAAAGATGTTCCTGACGCATAACATTATCAGGGTGAAAGCTACCAGAACAAATCATCTGACCCCTGCAAAGATACCAAAGACTTTTAAACATGAAATTCACATAACATCTCTGTAAGGGGTCAAATCACACAAGTCCAGATAAATGCATAGTTAAGCATGCATAGTAAACTATAACTAGAAACAGAAAAGTATTTTAAAGGCAAATTATCCTTAATGCTCAGCGATAGTCAAAATCTCTCCAATCAAAAGTATAAAGCACTTGAAAATGAAAGAGTTAAAAGATTATCTACTAGATGCTATGCAGAAAAGTTATGTAGCAGCTGGGGCTGCTAGTGCAGATGGTCATGAAACCAGTGGCGAATCTAGAGGCTAAGATGCGGGTTCCAGGGAACCCATTAACTTTTGCCCAAACCTTGTATATGTATTAAAATCTACAAATATGTGACTGCGAATCCAGTTATTAACTTGAGATCATTGTAGGAACCCATAAACTTCAAATCTTGGATCCGCCTCTAATGAAACATACTACTTGTCATAAGGTAGTCTATGCTAACCTCTTTGCAACTTGAGATGTTGATTTAGAGATTTTTTCAGATAATTGGCACAATGATGTAAGATACAAGGTTAATAAGTGCATAATTAAGCAACTAGTCAACAAAAGACTGTAGCAACAATACAATTTTTTTAGAAGGTTATGTGATCAGATAGAATACGCCCAACAACTAAGGAGGTAGAAAAGAGGTCTCAGGCGGTTAAGAGAACTACAGTTCAACGCCAAAACAATTACAAGAACATGCTTGTGCCATAATAGAGAAAGCCTATGCTTCTCTAGACTTGAAAGGAATTTGGTAAAATTAAGGACTATGCTAGGGAAATTATTAAAAGCCAATGTGTGGTAGGTCGATTGCACTTCATATTAGGTTTTGTTAAAATTTAAGTGTTTGATTCCTCTTGTTGGCACAGTTACAGTTGATACATCTGTGTATTATGATCCTCAAAATCCCTTGTATTGATCTTTTTTTTTTTGAGGAGTTGATCCATTGTATTACAGCCTAATGTATCATATTATGGTCATACCAAACTACATCCATAGACACTAAGAAGCCTTAGTTCATCTTTTCTTCTCCATGTGCCTCACGACCTCTCTTTGCATCCGTAAAACAATTGCTGCTTGGTGGGATAACTATAATTTCCAATCTCATCGGAAGAACACAATGCTAAAATCAGTATCTTTATCTGCACAATCTCAATTTATATCAAAAACATCTCCTAGCTTCTTTTACATGTATGGAAAACTAAGAAAATGGAACCATATCCCATCAAAATTTGATAATTCCCTGAAATGAGAAGACCAACCCGAGTACCGTCAGATCAAAAATAAAATATCAAGAGCCCACCACAACTCCTACTATCCGAAGTAACAATAGAAGTCACAGCAACCTGAAGTACAAATTCCTAATAAGTTAAAAAAGGAAAATTGAATGTTTCCGTAAGAACATCTGACATATTGTTCTCAGACGTGCAATGTTGTCATGCGGAGATATTTAGTAAAGAAAGACTTGCCACTTAACAAAAGGATTTCCGAAGTGAAAATTTTCCTGCCCCAGCAATTTACAGACAATTTCATCTGGTTCTGACCCTTCCGGCAAAAATTGCGTAAGAAATCCTCTCTCATCTTCTGACAAGTTTGCCTGCCAGACCTATATCAATTCTCATAGTGTAAGACACAAGGAAAATCATAGCTTCCAGTATATTTAGCATACACAACTTGCTAGACAATTACCTTGTGCGAGAGGACCTCACTTAAATTTTCGAATTCAAAAATTTCGTGAGGTAGAGTAAAAACATCAGCCAGTATACTATGATGGTGGGAAAGAGAATCCAAAAAGGGAGTCAAGTCTCTCCATGAAATGCCAATTTGCTCCTTCTTGGCAAGAACACACCTTTTTTTGTCATCCCAGACCAGAGAAACATTGGATCTTAACTTCAAACTATATCTTGCTAATCCCTGCTTCTTCTTCTTCTTCTTCAATCCATGGGGTTCCTGAGAATAGTCAACAGTGCTGGCAGCACATAGACGTTTCTTCCACTGATCAGCCACCATTGTCAAAGCAAGCCACAACAATTACCACTAGAGCATAATGATGCTATCTCAATTTTGATCAATGAGTCCCTCCCTAGGAGTAGTCAGTTGAGAGCTTCTAACAAAAACATTAAAACAAAAAATTTAGCAAGCTAACTTTAAAATTGTTTGAAAAGAAATGTTCAACTAGAACACACAAAAGCATTCCATTTCCAAAAATCAAAATCAAAAAATGCTTAGCACCGAACACCAAATATTAGAGAATGTCATAGTGCTGGAAAAATATGTTCTTAGGTCATCCTGGTGCGATGGTACCCAAGAATGTTAATGCAAGAACGTTTTACTTTGAAAGCATTGCAGCCAAGACAAATCAATTTTTGATGAAATATGAAAAGGAAGCTTGAAGTTGATGATTCTACAGACAACCTGTCCTCGTCTTCACACATCCTATAGGTAAAAGAGGGAAATTGAATTCCAATCAAGTGCAATGATACGCAGATGAGGTAAAATCGTTCATTAAAAGTATGTAGACAGAACAGGTAATAAATTATAAACAAACAAGCTTCATAAAGAGCAAGAGCTCATCCGAATGCATGTTCAATTAAGGAAACAATTGAGACACGTTTCAGTTGCCAAGTCACCTCTTAATGTATCGGTACCCAAGGAAAGCAGATCAAGTCCACCTCTATGATCAAATAGATTAAGATTAGAGAACCATACAATCCTCACTCCACTATCAACCTCCAACTGTCCTTGTCGCTGTCCCTCCCTTCCCCCCCTGAAGGCACTCGGGCAAGGGAAATAATTGGAAAATAATAACAGAAAGAGATTATGATACATAAAATTTACAAGACTATGAATATANGTTGGATAAACAAATTGATAACTGGTTATGTACATAACAGAGCATAAAATTTATATCTAAAAAAGGTACCAAATAATGAAAGCCCAAAATACGAAGGCAGTGATAGTAGGACAATGTGAAATTCTCGCGACAGGATTGATGCCGTTTAATAAGTAAAAGGAGAAACAGAAATCCAGTGAAATAATATAGGGTTGAAGGCTAATAAGATAAATCGCAGCATGAGAAAGATATAAAATCGAATAAAGAAGGCAACTTTGACACAAATAACAAAGCCCTAAACTATGAAGCCAAAATACCTGAAACAAAGTTAATACAGAGGAACGAGGCGGCAGCAATGAAGACAGGGCGACCGAGGAGCACAAGGGTTGCAGCGTTATCCGATACTCTTCGGGACAAAGCACAAGCACTGGCGACCTTTTTTCCTTTTTCTTTTTTTGTTTTCTCTCTCTTCCTCTCTCTCTTCTCTCTTTTTTATTTTTTATTTCTCTCTCTCCCTCTTTTCCTTTCTTTTTCCTTCTCGGCGTATGGTAAAATTTGGACCAAGAGGACCCGTTATGGTTTTTGCTAGGAGTGGACATAAAATTCGGACAAACGAATTTCGAATCGGATTGAAATAATTTGGTATTTTCGTATCAGTTTAACGGTATTTCAATATTTTTTGATATTTCGATATGGTATTTGGTATTGAATTTTTGATATTTCGTTATACTAAAATATTTAAGTCTAAGTTCACCTCTATTTCTATTTTTCAGCCTAATAATCTAAGCCTAAGCCCAACACCCCAAACCCCCTAATTCCCTTAATCAGTTCCTTAGGCTTAGAGACTTAGGGTTGCCATAGCATCTTCTGTTATAGACTTCAACCTCAATAAGTCTTTATTCAGTTGCCTTTTCTTATATCGTTGGAGCAACAATTTTGTTTACCCTTAAAATTAGATAACAATTAAACTTATAATATGATTCTAAGGACACGTGATTTCACTTAATACCAATTGATAAATATGAAGATTAATAACAAAAATGAACTATAAAATAAATCAAACCAGTATTGAAATAGAATTCAACCCTCGAGATAGGGTGCCCTCGAACTGATTGATACCAAAGCAATTAAAAATAAAGCAAGATGATGAACAAGAGAGTATAAGTTAAAGAGAGGGCACCAGAATGATTTCCACAGGTGCCCTCGTGGATTTCTCGTAGGACGTAGTCGGTATCTCCTGATCCTAAACATATTGCCAATGGTCCATCGAACATCCTTCTATACAGTATTTCGTCTTCGGCCAATGTGAATGGTGCGGCCTTCATACGTAGAGTCCTCGATTCCTTAAGATCCGATGGAAGCTTCCCATTCTTTAGGTATTCGATATATTTGTTCCTCCAATCCCAGGTCAGACTTGTGGAGTTGATTTCGGCGTGGCCTTCTTCGATTACTGATCTTGAAAGTTGTACGACAGTCCCCGAGCTAATCTCGTCATCTTCGACTGATGACCCCAAATTTGCGAAGGCATTGGCCTCGCTGTTTTGTTCTCGAAGCACATGTTGTAGGGTCCATTCTTTAAACCGATGTAGAGTCACTTGTAATTTGTCCAAGTATCTCTGCATTCGATCTTCTCGAACCTCGAAGATTCTGTTGACTTGGTTTACCACAAGCAGGGAGTCACATTTGGCCTCAACGACTTCTGCTCCCAAACCTTCAGCTGGCTCGAGACCTGCAATCATGGCCTCATACTCGGTCTCATTGTTAGTTAACTTGGCTGTTTTGATAGCTTGTCTAATTGTATTACCCGTGGGTGGCTTTAAAACGATGCCTAACCCGGACCCCTTCACGTTCGAAGCACCGTATGTGAAGAGGGACCACATCCCCGATGATGTACCCGACTTTATTAATAGTTTATTTTCGACCTCGGGTACGAGGGTTGGTGTAAAGTCGGCCATGAAGTCTGCTGAGATTTGAGACTTGATGGTCGTTCGAGGTCGATACTCGATATCATACCCCACTAATCTCGACGGCCCATTTGGCCAACTAGGCTGAAAGTTCGGGCTTATGCAAAATATTGTGAAGGGGATAAGTAGTCACCACACAGATCGGGTGACACTAAAAATATGATTTAATTTCCTAGAGGCGCTTATTAGGGCAAGCGCTAAATTTTCTAAGTGTGGGTACCGAATCACGGCCTCACCTAAAGTTCGACTAACATAGTAAACAGAAAATTGCGTACCTTGCTCTTCTCGAACTAGGACCTCACTTACCGCGATTTCCGAGACTGCTAAGTACAAGTAGAGTTGCTCGTCCGCTTTTAGAGTATGAAGCAGTGGTGGGCTCGAGAGGTACCGCTTTAATTCTTCCAATGCTTGTTGGCATTCCGGGGTCCATGCAAAATTGTTCTTCTTTTTTAGCAGTGAGAAGAACCTGTGACTTCTATCTGAAGACCTCGATATGAATCGGTCTAGGGCAGCTATGTGCCCTGTTAATCTTTGCACGGCCTTAACATTGTCCACGGTTGTGATATCTTCGATTGCCTTGATTTTATCGGGGTTGATTTCGATCCCCCGATTTGATACCATAAAGCCGAGGAACTTGCCCGAGCTGACCCCGAATGCACATTTCTCTGGGTTGAGTTTCATCTTGGATTTCCTCAGTATATCGAAGGTCTCCTGCAAATGTGTCAAATGGTCCTCTGCTCGCATGGACTTAACTAGCATATCATCAATATAAACCTCCATTAATTTACCTATTTGTTCTTCGAACATTCGATTTACTAAGCGTTGATAAGTGACACCAATATTTTTTAGTCCAAATGACATTACATTATAACAATAGGTGTCGTACTTAGTGATGAACGAAGTCTTTTTCCGATCCTCCGGGTTCATTTGTATTTGATTGTAGCCGGAGTAGGCATCGAGAAAACTAAGGATCCTGTGGCCAGTCGTGGCATCGATCATGCGATCGATATTCGGCAGAGTAAAAGAGTTTTTAGGACATGCTTTGTTTAAATCTTTATAGTCTACGCACATTCTAAGTTTATTTCCCTTTTTAGGGACTACGACTACATTTGCTAATCATTCGGGATATTTTACTTACTGAATGGATCCTATTCTTAGAAGTTTGGTTACCTCGTCCTTGATGAATGCATGTTTTACCTCGGACTGAGGCCTTCTCTTTTGTTTTACCGGGCGCAACTTCGGGTCCAAGCTCAGTCGATGTGTAGTGATCTCCGGCGAGATTCATGTCATATCTAGGTGGGACCAAGCAAAATAATTCATATTATTGATAAGAAATTTAATGAGTTTTTCCCTGAGTTCGGGGGCTTTCGATCGGGTAGATACTCGATCAGTATGACTTGCTCCAGCTCTTCGATTGTCGATTTGGTGGCATCGGAATCCTTGGGAATTATGAAGGATCGAAGGTGCCACGGTTGAAGTGCTAAAATTCCATGCACAACACCCAGGATCAAGACTCTCCAGATGCTCTCTTTGTTCCCTTTGTTGACGAAAGTGCCGATACCGGTATTACTTCGTCGACTGCGAACACCTATTTGGCAGCATGTTGTTCCCCATACACCGTTTCTACTCCATCTGGTGTTGGGAACTTCAGCATTTGGTGAAGAGTTGAGGGGACCACCCTCATGTTGTGAACCCAGGGTCTTCCGAGCAGTGCGTTGTATCTCATATCGCCCTCGATCACATGGAAATTTGTTTCTTGAATAGTTCCGGCTACATTTACTGGTATGATGATTTCATCTTTAGTTATTTCACTCTCCATGTTGAAGCCATTGAGAATCCGAGCTGCGAGAATGATCTAATCTTGCAGGCCGAACTGATTCACGACCCTCGATCGAATAATATTAGCCGAGCTTCCTGGATCAATTAAAACACGTTTAATATGAATTTTATTCATAAGGATAGAGATTACCAAAGCATCATTGCGGGGTTGTGAGATCCATTTTGCTTCATCATCATTGAATGATAAAGTGCCTCATGGCACATAGTCACGGGTTCGCTTTTCCCTGGTGATTGATACTTTAGTGCGTTTTAACACATGCCCATGTGGAATATCAACCCCACAACGATCATGTGAATCACGTGCTGAGGTTCTTCCTGCTCGTTTTTCCTGTTTGCATCCTTGTATCTGAAATGGTTTTTAGCTCGGTCGCTCAAGAATTCGCGAAGGTGCCCCTCGTTGAATAGACGGGCCACCTCATCCCTTAGTTGCCTACAGTTTTTGGTTTTATGACCATGAGTACCATGGTATTTGCATATTTGATTAGAGTTTCTTTGGGATGGATCGGTTTGTAGGGGCTGGGCCATTTAGTATCTTTAGAATCGGTAGTGCCCCCGGTATTTGGTCAACCTGGGAGTTGTATGTCTCTACTTTCTTCTCATTTGCCTCGGTTTTCTTTTCTCCCGTTTCAATCCGTTTAGTGAGCTCCTCGAGCATTTTCATAATGGTAGGGTCAGTCCCTGATTCGTTGGCAATCAACCTTTCCGGCACATACTCGGTCCTGTGAACGACTTCTGGTTCGATCCTACTCGGTGTTCGGTGCTGGTTTTGTAGTTGTGCTATCGCGGCTTGTCGAGCCTGTAATATTTCGAATATAAATTGGAGGCTAACTCTCTCGTCTTCTCCGCCCTACGTACGCTGCCTTCGGGATCAACACCCAAATTTGCATTTAGGGCAACATGTGAACTGACATTGACGGGATTTGCGATTGGTGCTCCGTCGAGGTCAGCCTGAGGCACCTCGATTCCTAGGGCGGCTATATTGTCATTTTTCCCGTGAAATCCGAGGCCGTTGTCACCATGTGTAGGTGTTACTTGTGAGTTTGACATGTTTATCTTGAAAACAAAGATTCTTATAAGAATAGGTATAAAGCAGTGTGTGCTATCGAAATTAGTAGTAAGCAATCACTATTATCCCTAGCCCCACGGTAGGCGCCAAACTGTTTACCCTTACAATTGGATAACAATTAAACTTATAATATGGTTCTAAGGACACGTGATTTCACTTAATACCAATTGATAAATATAAAGATTAATAACAGAAATGAACTATAAAGTAAAGCAAACCAGTGTTGAAATGGAATTCAACCCTCGAGTTAGGGTGCCCTCGAACTGATTGATACCAAAGCAATTAAAAGTAAAGCAAGATGATGAACAAGAGAGTATAAGTTAAAGAGAGCCCGTTATATTAGCTTTTTTATGCGAGAACAATGTGTCTTATAAATGGTTAATACTCTCCTTTATATAGTAGAGTAGTTCTACTTATGGTATAACTTTAATTATAGAAGAAAATCCCATGATTAGCTAATTAACCATTTTTGATTTGATCCGTTCTGAGATTTACGCCATGATCCTCGACCAGTCACCGAGGTTTACGCTGTGATCCTCGACCAGTCACGGATATCCCACCTTTCTGTTATTGTGCTATCTTCGATCTTGCTCGATGTCTGTCTCGTTTGGCTTCGATCGCTAATAGCCT